TTCCTTTTCATATTTGTTTTTGATATGTGTTATTTGACCTGAGGGTCTATTCGAAACAACCTCTCTACCTTCACAAGGTATGGGTAAGGCTGCATACACACCACCCTCCGCATACCCCGCTTGTGGGATTACACTGGGTATGTTGTTGTATTATATTTGTGGTGTGTCAGTTCCCAAGTAATATAACACTTTTAATGTGTTTGTATATTGTGAAAATAGAAAAACTTACTGTGTCGAACAAGAAGATGTTATTCCTTCTTAATTTCCTGTCAGAAAAGTGGAGATCTTTGAGCATCATTGATGAGTAGATGCGCAAACTATCTGTCAAATATGTTGTTGGTTTTGTTACTTTCTCCTCTCTTATTTAGGACTTTTTTGGATATTTTTATTGCAGCCTGCAGCTGGGACTGCAATATCAGGAAAAGGCGTTGTTATTTGTAAATACAAGTCTGATCCTACTGTTGCCTTGGGCTATTTGTCTTTTGTTTTTCTTGCTGCATCTTCTGTGGCCGGTTTTCTGTCTTTGTTTTATCCGTATCAAGGAAAGTCAGTTCCACAAGCTGCTTTGCTGAGAAACACTAGTTTCGTCGTGTTCTTAAATATTGCATTGTAAGTACTCCTCAACTTGTTTTTTTCTTTTTCATTGTGTTTTATGCGTAATCTCTTCATTTACCTTCTTCTTTATCCTAGTTCACTATCCCTATGTGTCTTACTATTGGCTGTTTTTGTCCTGAAGTTGGTAAACACATCATTGTAGGTCACATACTTCTTGTAACTTTGACCGTCATCCTCTACAAATAATAGCACTAATATCATTTAGGAATTGCAGCTCTTGGATGTATAGATATATCTGATGAAGTGATAAATTTTTGAAAAAATCGGATACCAACTACTTAGGACATGTAAAAGGGTGCAAATTATCTAAGGTATCTTCAACTTAATCAAAATGCAGAATGCGCTCTTTAATATCCTTTAAGTAGGATGATTCGAACTGCAGACAAGAAAATTAACCCCCTGCTGAAAATAAGGTTCATTATGAGATAATTAACCCTTGATGACTCGATGGTGATAGTTCAAGTAGGAAAAGGGAAGGAACAACTGATAATTGAGGTGTGTTTTAATACATAAATGATGATAGTTCAGGTAGGAAAAAGGAGAACAACTGATAGTTGAAGTGTGAAACTCGTGAAAAAGCGGTAGTTCAAGTGTCATTCAGGTAGGAAAAGGTAAAGGGAACAACTGATAGTTGAGGAGGACTTGAGGTGTGTTTTTAATACATAGATGGTGATAGTGCAGGAAGAAAAAAGGAACAATTGTTAATTAGGGTGTGAAATTCGCGAAAAAACTGTAGGTTAGGTGCATTTTAGACCATTCAACTCTTGAACTTACTTCGGAAATTGATGCATCACCATCAACTATGTGATTGAGTTCACCGCCTCTCTTGAGGGATAGGAATCTTATCATTATTTCATATACTACTGTACTATTTTCTGAACCTTAGTGTTCTTTTTGGTGATTTTCTGCTGTTAATTCAAAGGGGCACAACTGGTTTAGCAGCAACATTGTTGTTGTGGCCTACAATCACCGAGCAACTTCATATCACACGCAACATTCATCACAACTTGCAGACCGATTGCCCAACTGCCAAAACCGGTCTTCTAGGTGGAGGTGCCTTCTTGTCTCTTGATTCCGCGCTCTTCTGGTTGGTGGCTTTGATGTTAGCTGATAACGCTCGTGAGGATTATTTCCAAGAAACGAATGTCAAGGGCGAGCCGAAAGCAAGTTATGCAGATGATGAAATTATCAAGAGCAGTGCTTAAAGTTAAATACACTACTCCTATTATTCTACTTTCTCTGTGTTATTTCTGTTGTTGCAAAATGAACTTTCAGCACAAACTGTAAAAAAAAAAACAACATGATTTCCTGCCTTTCTAAGTATAATAATAAAATATCATTGTAGATTCTTCATTATGGATTGTGTTCCTTAGCCTCTTGGAGAAATGCAGGATAACCCTCCGGTCCTTCCTCGAACCCCACATATAGATTATGTTTCTTCTCATTTCTTTGAAAAAAAATTGCACGATGTTTATAAGTCATCTATTGTGGATGAATAAATAAATAATTTTATTCTTGCATCATTTTTTACAGTATATTAAAAGGTATATATAATATATAAATATAAATGCCTCTATACAAGCCTTTACAACCTGTTACAGGTGTAGATTCGTATACATAATTTAATTGCCTCTATTTTCTAAAAAAAAAAAAAAAAGATTAAAAGAGTTCCATATTCTCCTTTATTATTACCTTTGATTTATTTTGTTTCTAGAAGGACATATACAATTTGTTAAAATATATAAACAAATAAATAAAAATAGTCAATACTAATATTTTAGATTATTTTTTTTGATAACTCAATGTTTGCAAACAATTTATTATGCATACTTTGATTAACTCACATATATTTATCACCTATCACTAACAAAAGATATCAAATAATTCTATCTGTTCAAACTATGACATATCATAATTCATTTGATAAATAATAAAGTCGTAAACTTTATTTTATGAAAGTTCAAATATATTAATAGTAATGTAGCATAATTTTTTTGAAAAGAAAATTCGATTCGATGTAGATTGATTATTTAATATTTGCTTTCTTTTTGGAAAGATTTCGTCCATTAGTTTGTAAACAATTGGTATAATAATAATAATAACAACAACTGCTTTATTCCTAAGTTAAATAAAGTTTATAAGGTGCTATACCTTAGAAAAAGTTCAAGTTACCAAGAAAGAAAATGCTATAAAAAATATTCACATACCGATTAAATATTTATTCGTATAGATGTTTATACTATATTATTGAATGCTTTGTCTGTGTTTGAAATATATAATTATCACTTAATCATAATTAGTTAATGTATATTTTCTTAAATTACTTAACTATAATAAGTTATAATTTGATGCAAGATATTAATCTTAATTTTTAGTTATTCATATATCAGTCATTAAGTCTATTTGTTTTCAATGTCAGAATATTAATTATTAAGTGTGTTTCTTTTTCTTAGTTTACAATGACTTGATGGGTCTGAATGATTAAAATCTATAACAAAGTCTTAATATCATTAAGATATCTATTTAAGAATTTCTACAAAGATGACAGTTCACCGCTACTCCATCTACTTTCACCCACCACCCACAACCATCATTTCAATCACAACTACGACTATCGTCAATCACCACCACCTGCCATCTACAACCATCATCCTCAACCCAACTACAACCACCACTCGTCAATTGCCAGTCAATCTTCATCACAAATAGTCATCATTTACTATCATCACCACCAATCATTATTACATCCATTAATTACTGTCGATAATTACTACCATTAGTTAACATTATATATCACTAACCGCCATTATCTTCACCATCAATATCATTTCACTACTTGTTATCAGCCTTACCAACAACCACAGTTAACCACTACTATCAATCACTATACCATAAGATACTACCTACAATCATCATCAACAAACACCATTCCAAATAAATGTCTTAATCTTAATAAAAACAAATGAGATCTAAATATCTGATTTGGATCATTTTTTACTCGCACGTTGAGATTCAGTATTTGAAAATCAAATAACAATAAAAACTTACTCGTAAAAAGTATTCACACCAAATTATATTAATTTATTATTTTTAAATAAATTAATGTGATGAGAATGAATATTACTTAATTACAACCAAGCAATAAATATATTTACAAATATTGACATTTGATGTAACTATTTTGTGAATTTCAGTATTTATGATCATAAATTCACTTAAAAAGGGACATCATAATTATTAATTACATATTAAATACACCATTAAAATTATTTATTATAATAAATAAATTTAATTTAATATAATTCACTTTGATTAAATATAAAATAAAACTCAAATAGAAATAAACTCACAAAAATGTTAAATTCAAATGGTGGAGGATTATATGTTTAATATTTGTGCATCCTAATTTATATAATTCGCTTCGATTAAATATAAAATAAAATAAACTTAAAAGTTAAAAAATTATAATCTAAAAAATATTTATGTAATTAAAAATAAAATATATTTTATAAATTGGAATGAAAGTAATACAAATATCAATAATAGTTATTGTAAAGTACTAAATATTATTTTATTCTTAATTAGAGGTCCACTATTATAAAGTCACATTTTACCCGCTAACTAGATAAATCATGTGGGAAGCAATCAAATTTAATCGATACTCAATATGAATATCAAACATCAGGTAGAAAGCATTAAAACAAAATAGGAAACAACAATACTATATTTTGTGTGATTTCATAAATAAAGTTCGAAGAAGATGAGATATACGCAAATTTTATCTCTACCTTGAATAAGGATAGATAGACGTTTTCCGGTAAAAAACCACCAATGATCATTTCTTGACTATAATTTGTTGGGTATGCATCTTTGACCCGTTTAGACGTCAAGGCCCAACTTAGAGCTAAAAGACTAACACCTTGTTTGGATGGTTGTTATCCGTCACATTGTATTGTATAGTTAGTTTAAATATATTGTTTGTTTTAATTGTTACGTAAATTTTATTGTATCGTGTCATTTAAATTCATCGTTAGGTAAATGAAAAGACTCATTCTATGGAATGACCGATTTGGTGTGATCGTGTTGTTACCTTGATATTTTCTTCTTATTTTATCTTTATTTATTAATTAATAATTATATTTCTCTTTTTCCCTACCTTTTCATAGTATTTGTTTTTCTTATAGATTTATCATTCAAATCATACATATATAATATTATATAATGATGAAAAATCTATCCATATTCATAGGATAAAATATAACACAATATGATACATTATGAAACAAGGTAACAACCGTCCAAACAAAGTGTTGAAAAGTATTTTAAAATGAGAAAAGAATATTTCGCTGGTTTTTTCTATAAGTTTTTTTGTTTTTTGTTTTTGCGTAGATCGGAAGGCCATCATTTTCAATCCAATTCCCGCCGATCAGAGTTCCGGTGAGAACAATCGTTCGAAGATGGCCGGGAAATCCAAACCTAAGCCGTTGAATGTTTACCTTTATATTCCGAATATCATCGGTGAGTTCTCTTTCGAAATTTCTGTTTGAATACTCTCACTGATATTCGCCTTTCAGCTCGGAAGTATTGTATCCGTTGATTTATCTTTTTTGTGAAATTTTGATGTATTGGAGAACCGAAATAATGAACTGGAAAGCAGAACGGAGTTCTGTGTTTTGTTTGTCGAAAGCAATGTTGCGTAATTTTGGTTCTTATCCCTGAAATTTCGGCTGTTTTGAATTTATTTTTCTATTCCGAGACAATATTTATCTTATTTTTTATATTGTTAGCAGTAATTTTTTGATGTTTCATAATGTTGATGGAGATTTTGTTAGAATCTCTTTTTCTGGCAATCATGATTTATGTCTATTTTTTTTCAAAAGAGGTCGGTGATATTCGGAATAATATAACTACGGAAAGTTGTTTGGTGATGCTAGATGCTAGTGTTTCTCGTGGAACACTAACGCAAACCTATTTGGATTTGTTGGAACTATTTTTTTTAACAAATATACAAGTTCTGGATGTTATGTTAGGCTTTCCATATTATTTGTTATGTCCTATTTGCTGCTGTATTTGCCTTTTCAACTGCTTTATTATTTGTTACTTGAGCGGAGGGTCTTTTGGAAACAACCTCTCTATCTTCATGAGGTAGCTTCACGAGGTAGGGGTAAGGTGTGCGTACCCTCTAACCTCCTAGATCTCACTTGTGGGAATACATTGGATATGTTGTTGTTGTTATTGTGTATACAAGTGATGGAAATGAAATTGGCTTTGTTTTTTAAAGCACTTCCCTAGTTCCCTTCCATTTTGTGTTTGATTTTCATTTTCTTACACCTCAATTCCTCTAATTTTTTGTTCTCATTTGTTCACATAAGAGATACTTTGCTGCACTGCAAGTTCTTGTGCTCTACTGAAATTAGGAAATTAGTTCATTATTCTTCTTCATGATGCTCTTGTGGTGGTCTTATTAACCAAGTATAACCAAGTAACAAGCTCTATTTATGTAGTTATGGATTTCTTTTTTCTGAGAATGAAAAAAAAAAAGAAAATAAGAAAATCCTTGTGGATTTTTATCAATATCAAACTTCACTTTCCATGAGGATGCCAAGCATTTAACTTCCACTATTTCTTTTTTGGGATTTTTCATTTTTCCTGTAACCTTCTTGCACTATATTGTTTGCGCATTTTTCCTGTGACATCCTTGCTTAATTCGGCCATAATGAATTGCTTTATTTGTCTGTGTTACTTTCAACTGCTCCAGTCTGTATATATTTCTCTTCCTCTTATATTCATAGATGTTTTGATAGTTTATTCATGTATCTTTGTTATATATATTCAATATTGTATATTTTGATTTGAGATTACTGTCAACTTTAGTAGAACTGAGAAAAAGAACTCTGTACAAACAAATGCCACTTAAGTAACTCTTCGGATGTTAAAGTGGGTATATAGATATGTTGTGCTGAATTGGTTGTTACATATGTTGTTGGATGCAGGGTACCTGAGAATTTTGATGAATTGTGTTGCATTTGCTGTTTGCTTTGTGGACAAAAAGCTATTTTCACTTCTGTATTTTGTCAGGTGAATTCCCTTGATATATGATTTTTTGGGGAGGAGTGTATGGAAGTGGGATTGTTGGTTAATGGAGTTTTTTTTTCCAGTTTCGTCTGTGATGCTTTGGATGGTTGGTTTGCTCGTAAATTCAATCAAGGTAAGAGGTTTCCTCATTTTATGTTTGATCGATACTATTTCTTCTAGGTGCGTGATAGTCTCAGTCCTTGATTTGTAAATGACAGGAGTCTAAATGCCAAAGTGACTAGGTCCAATTTTTGTCGCAATTCAGACAAGGTGTTGCAAATTTTTGGAAGTAAAACTTATATATTCAGAAACTCCATAAAGAGTACTACGAAATACATTTTTTTATATATATGTTTAAGAGATTTAGGGAATAGTCAATAACAAAATTGTTGACTTGCAAAATAGTAATTTTGTCATATAAAATGGACAAATGGGGTTTTGGATTTGTAGCCTGACCCTGACTAACATTGTGGTTAGAAGTGTGTTCATATTTGAAGAACACATGGAAGCAAGTCGTATTTTGAGCAAATAGACTATTCCTCATTCTACTTTTAGCTCTCTGCTTGGGAGAACAGTTGTAAGAAAGAAAAGAATTCAGAAATGGAGCAGTTATTAATACTGCACATATTCTTCTTTATTTTGGGAGGGGTTGGTATCTAATTTGAGATATATTTTTAACCAAAAAAACAACTATTAATATACCTTATATGAAGCAGAATGCTGCTGTAATCTTGTAGGCGAAAAGGGACGAATACCTTAGATTCAATGGGTCCGCTGGATAAATCTTCTATATCAATTAGTGTCCTGTTCAAGTTATCAACATCCTTTTCACAATCAGCTCTACACCTCTTCACTCCCATTGCCATCCTCTGTATTACTTTCCATTTTGCTTCACTTCTTCTCCCTTCCATGCACCTATTCCATATTGTTTTCCCCCCTAAAAACCTTAGCTTTCTCTCCTCCCGCTTTTAATACTAGTAGGTAGTAGCCATATGGAGCAGGGGAAAGAAGTTGCCAGCAAGGGAGATAAGTCACAGGATAATGTTGCCATAATAGCTTATTAAAAGAGCTACACTTACCTTAAATAACATCTGCAAGGAGGATCAAGTTAGTTAAGCAGCCTAGATTCTGAAATTGGCAATGACATAAAAAGAAATGTAGATCTTGATTGAGAAAGAGTAGGAGTGTAGCGAAATCCTGAACTGAGTTTGTTGCTAGAATACTAGGGGATTGGCGTAGTGGAGGTGGTGCAGTCTAGCATACTAAGCTACCTGAAAACTGAACTGCTACACGTGACTGAGTCATAACTCTGAGCTGAAGACGACCAAGATCTTATGAGTATTATTGTAGCTAAAAGCCTAAAATTGGTGCCGTTTGACTTCTATTCTCAGCATGCATTTATCGGCCAAGCATGACCAGGGAAAACCATGGTGTCTGATGAGTCCTGGAGATTTGATGAAATGAGACTGTGAGGACCCAGCATTGATCTTGTACACCAGTGGTTCAAAGGGGGAAACCAAAAGGAAAAGAAATATTAGCTCAATCCAAAATGTTAGGAGATGCTGGGAATACAATTCAGCTGACCAATTTCTGTAGTGTCTACCACTTTATCATGTCCATGATCACTCTTGCTTCCCCTGAGTTCTTGTGAGAGGAATTTGACAGATATGGTATGAGTCTCATCCTGCAGATGGGACTAACACTGATAATTCATAAAAGGTGTACTGGAGTTCCTACTATGCATACACGACTAATACAAGGTTATGAAGCAAGTGCAACTTTTACTTCGGCAGCAAAGCTCTTGCATCTTGTGATGTATGGCTCCTCTGCACCTCCTTTGCCCGTCACACAGCAATGGGAACAATTACTGGGCATCAGTTAGTAGAATGTTATGGCATGACTGAGTTCGATGGCATATGTAATCCCATTGGCGGGAAACACAGAGGAGGTACTGTTGGCAAGCCCTTTTCAGCTGTACAGGCTAATATATTCTTGAATAATGAGAGTGGTAGCGACAAAACCGGAGTTAGGGAGCTTTGCATTAAGGGTCCATCGTTCAGAAATATTGGAAGCTACCTGTGCTAACTTGGCAATAATTTTCCAATGATGGTGTTTTCAAGACTGGAGGTGCTGTTAGAGTGGATGAAGATGGATATCCCATGATTTTGGGATGAACTGATATTGATACTATCAAGTCAGTGGATACAAGTTAAGTATTGAAATTTGAAGTAGTTCTGTTGGAGCATCCATGTTGGTGTTAAGATTACCTGGCAAAGACTATGGTGAAGTGGTGTGAGTAATTGTTGTCCCTGACACTGAGCTCAAAGAAAGAAAATTGAGGAATTAAAACTTGTACCAAGGCAAGAACTTTCGGAATGTGCAAAGGAGAGATTGCCACGTATAAGATACCTAATCTGTTGTCTGTGTGGAACACTTTCTTGCAAACTATGGGGAAGGTAAAAGTAACGGAGCTGAAGAGAAAGCTGTCTCTGAGGACCCACAATAAGTTAAAATAGTCAGCAATTGCCTAGAGGTCAAGTATTGAATAAAGATTATGTGTTACGGCGACAGTGAATAAAGGCAACCCTCCTTTATCTGAGATTAGAACAGGCTACAGTTTTTCAAATTCAGTTAGGCAGAGATGAAAATATTCCTTAGATTAAGTAGTCTATAATGGATCTATTCGAGACTATATATTGCTGGTTTAGAACATACATGAATGTTTGACATTTTCTGTTTACATATTCTAAGTGTAACCAAACACAGTATAGAAGTATGGTATTATTGGACAGTTGCAATATGCATTGAGGAACTTCTATCTACTCCACTTCTGCCCTTCTCCTTCACAATTTACACACGCACCCCTCTTTAAAAGGTAAACATTTGTATATCTTTCTCGGCCTTTTGGCTAAGATAGGTGTAGTATCTGTTCTTATCAGTTTAATATCTAATATGTGGACCATCGTTCCACACAATATTAGCTCAATTTTTAAGGGGGGGGGGTAGTCTGTTAAGGTAGCTTGCTAGCTGGGCTTTTGCATGTTGCCCATGTGCTGCTCTACAGCACAGGCCTGGTGCACCCCACTAAATCTTTCTGGAGTTTAAGTTATTGGTTACTGGTGACATGTGGTCCAAAATTTTATACAGGTTAATAACTTCATTAAAAAAAAGAAGGTTATAGACGATAATAGTGTCTATCATCTGTGAGTTTGTATTCTTGTTGTCTGGCTTTGATAAAACTATATCTGAATTTCATATGCAAGACCCGCCATATATTTGATTGTCAATTTTCCTCTCTGGATTCAGCTTCAACATTTGGGGCTGTTTTGGACATGGTGACAGATAGGTAGTGCCACATTTCTAACCCTCAACTTTAATCCCTGCCCCAAAACCCTTGTGGTTGAACATTTAATGCACAGACCTTGCTTTCATATTAGGACTCAAATCTGTTTTTTTGTTTATGTGGGCTGTATGATTTTTCAGGGTTAGCACTGCCTGCCTGCTGGTTATTCTTTCACAGGTTTATAGGTATCTTCATCAACTCTTGTCTGCGTAAGCTTTTGCACTGTTAAAGTTCTGGCATATTTAAGATTTATTTCCTCCTGTGTCTTCCTGCTTTCAGGCCTGGTTTAGTTTTTTTGTCGTTGCTTGCACTTGATATTTCCAGCCATTGGTTGCAAATGTATAGGTAATTAACTCTCCAATAGCACATATCATTTAGGCAAAGATTGATTCTGCTTTGTGTTTTCTGTTGTAATGTGTTTAGACGTCTGATTATCATGTTTTCTCAACTGAGTTTTCTGGAAAAATTATTGCAGTACCTTTTTAGTAGGAAAGACGAGTCACAAAGATGTCAAAGACAGCAGCAGCTGGCTATTCAGGCTTTATTATGGAAATAGGATGTTCATGGGCTACTGCTGCGTGTCATGTGAGGTAACTATCTCTATCAATTCTGGAAAGCTGAGAAATTCTTCATGTGCACACAATTGTTATCTGATTTTAGTTCTTATTTACCAGGTTCTTTATATTACATTGTTCCTTCTTGCAAGGAAAGAGACTGAAAGTCTTATCGATGTAAGATCTCAGCTATTATGATTTTCATATCTTTCTATTTTTGTTGCCTGTGTTTAAGAAGCTCATTGACAGTTTCTGCATTTCATATCTAGGTTCTTGTAAATACTGCCACGGCAAGTTGGATTTATCTCATCTTGCTTGCTCTTCTTCTGTTCGGATGGGCAATCAAGCAATTTGTTAATGTTATACAGGTAGATAACTACTAGCTATGCTAGTTTTTGATAGCCCATGTAATATCTTATTTGCCTTGTGTAAAATGATGTTCTCAATATGACAATTATCTTCTGGTTCAGATGAAAACCGCGGCTGATGCTTGTGTGCTGTATGACATGAACAAAAAACAGTAGCACTGACATAGACGTAAAACAAGAGGCTTCTGCAATAATGTTTTTCTGGACAGTGCATTTTGGTTTTCTGTATACCGCGTTATAGTCACACATTCAATTGTCCTTCCAGGTAGAAGCTTCTTTGGTGATGACTTGAATTGGGAAGTTCTTTGATGCATCCATTCTGTAGGAAATGATCTGAGATTTTCAACTAACAACTGCTTATGGCCTAAGACCCTAATCATGTGTGTCATTTCTCCCTCGTCGTTGTGCCTAAAGTTGGATATGATTCTAACGGTGCCTTTGTTGTCGATTTTTTGTTTTTGGTTTGTTTAGTTGGAATGTACATACTCTTTGGCATATCATAGTGATTTCAATTTACGAATAGCCATTGGATTTTGTCCCCTCTTGGTTCAGTAACTTTGGTTTCGATGATCAATATTTAATATTTTGTAGTTTTGATCTTGTTGTCTCCAATTTAAGTTACTACTCTTTAATAACTTTAGAATCAATCTGGTATTGAAACGGGGAAAGACTCTCATTTATACTCCTCGCATTTGCGATTGCAACCAAAGATCATATGATTTTTAATGCTAATTGTGTCAAGTCAAAATAAGACAAACAAATTGACAGACAAAGAAACATGAGTTAGAAACTTGCAAATAGGAAGAGAATGAAGATAAACAAATGAACAACTTGAAGATATCATTAATAATGCTACAAGATGAATCTTCAATCAAAAAATATAATCTCAAAAAAAATAAAATACATTACCTAATATTGAAGATAAACAAATGAAACGCCGGATTGCGATTAGTATAAGCTAAAACCAAAAAATTGGCTGATGATTATAGCAAGGCCTAAACCAATTGCAATAAGGGAAGAAGCCCAAGTGAGTTTTTCAGTAATTCTAGGAACTCTATCTTTCAGTGCCTGACTACATGAGCCTATAAACACAGTATAGCTACCCATTGCCATAACAGTTCCAACCAAGAACATACCCAAGAAGGCCGCACCAGCCAACCGAGAAGGCAAAGCAAGAGCTGGTAGGATTATCAGCAGCGCGTCAGGTTGCAGCCCGTGGACAATGCCAGTTGCAAAGGTTGTGAACCCCACTTTCTTCTTCTTCCCGATAACTGGAGTGTTAATGCCTTCGTATACACTAACATCACTATCACCATTTTCCAGGGCAACAAACTGGGAATTAATTTCAGATGCTTCTTTAATTCCCATTGCTCCGATAACAAGAAGGGTGAAGCCTACTACTCTTGTTCCCCATGTACGAATAACTTCAATGTGGAGTCTGTCCTTTAAGAGCAGAAACAACAGGCCAAAAATCAACTGCCCAGCATCATGACCACAACCCCAGAGGGCTCCCACTGCCGCACTCTCCATCCTTGTGCGGCCTATCGACAAAGGAGCCAAAGCAGCAAGATGGTCAGGACCTGATAGGGTGTGTAGGCAACCAGCAAAGAAACCAGTCCATGCACTGCTTAGTAATTCATTACGAACAAATCGACTCCCCAGTGCTGCTGCAGCCGGTCCACCAGCCTTAGCTGCCGCTTGGAAACTAGCAAAAGCTGGTGAAACAATGACCGGATGGATGAGCATAACAAACACGGCCGACAGAAGAACTATGGTACTTGCAGAAAGGACCTGAATGAAATCATATAAAACAAAAAACATGCTGAGGAAAAAAAACAAGTTTGTTATAGAAGTAAACTGCAATGCATGGACCATCAGTGACCTTTTATAGTCAGTTACCTCGCGCTATGAAGTTCAATGTATGCTATGCAGCTGAATAAGTTATAAAGTTATGTGGTATCATTGAAAAACTATATACTGAACATTTTTATTTTACACGGCAGCAAGGTGAACCGTTCTGTAAACCCGGGTTCAACTTCCTAGTGTTTTATCCAACAGGTTTGACAAGTGTGTGTGCTGATTATGCTAAAAAGCTCTCTACTACTGGCATCATTTTGACGTCGGTATTGCACTTTCATAGTGTTATTTAACTGTTTCTAACTTTCAACAACAACATACCCAGTGTAATCCCATAAGGGGGTCTGGGGATGGTGATGTGTTTGCAGCCTTACCCCTACCTTGTGAAGGTAGAGAGGTTGTTTCTGATAGACCCTCGGCTCAAGTGAAGCATATAGAAAATAATGGATAAAAAGGTATGTTTCTATTTGAACAGACAGCTGTTGAATATAAACTAGTTCCATATAGAGAGGAATAACCACTTGTAAATCAATAAACATTCTCACAAAAGGCTCATAAGATAAGAAGACCATACAATAAAGATGACCATAGAATAAAGATAAGAAGACCATACAATAAATTGTTGCAAAGACCCCACCTTCGTCCTTTTGTATAAGTAGCAAGTTCAATCCTTAAGGCTGCGATATTTAATATTATTTTTCGTCTTTTTTGATTGCCAAAAGATTATTTCTCTTCTCTGCTTTCATTGTTGAAAAATAGTCACAAAATTGAAAAACTGTGCTGCATATCCATTTCCACATATCATTATCGATCATAAAACAAAATATATCCATTTCCACAGACCATTCAAATGACATTCTTCTATCAAAAAAACCTTCACACTTTTGTGACAACTTGAGGGTCTAGTAATTTAACCCATGGAGAGAACGTATTTCCAAGTATTTATTTTAAAACTTATTGAGGTAAAGTTGCAAAATATGCTCAGTGGTGACTTTTGATTTTGTGTTTCTACTTTTTTTGCTATTTTTTTTTCCAAATAATTTGATTGGTTTTATTTGAACAATGGTAAAGATTGAGTTATATTGCCTTTCTCAATGCTACGACTTTGGAAAGACTATCTGTGTTTTACTGTTTCAAATAGTAGATAAAAATTCCATAGATCAAATGTAAATGGCAAATAAAGTAGAGGAATAGTTGGGTAAAATTTTCATTGTTTTTATTTAAGAACATAACTCCAATATTGAATTTAATGCTAATGGAGTATGCCTGAGCATACAGCAGATCTACTTAGTTGCTGGATCAGCAGAGGGGGGAGAAAATCTAAGAAAAAGTGGTGGAGTATAATACCATCATGCATTTGGTGGTGTATTTGGAAAGAAATAAATAGCAGATGCTATGATAACAAAGCTAATTCAATAGAGAAAGTCAAATGGAACTGCTTGACTACTTTTTATTTTTGGTGTAAAGAGGAAGTGATAGAAGAAGCTGCACAAATTTTGGATTTTATAGGCACTTTGTAATATATTAGCCTTTTTGTTTTTCCTCTTGTTGGAAACCAATTTTTGGAGGTCTCCAGCATATCCTTAATGCTGATGAATACAACATTATCTTTATCAAAAAAAAAAAGATGTACCTTTACAGTACTTTCCAAATTGAATCTGGCAAAAGGATATAAGCCAAATCATCCCTAATATCAAATGCTTCATGAGGATTGAGATCAATACATGGAAAGTTAAAAAAAAAAGAACCAAAAAATTATGTCCAAAGTGCTATGTATTTTTCTTCTATTTATAGTACATACACTATCTCAGAAAATATCTCCATGGGGTAACTCAAAAATAGAGCATTTAAAGATAATTCAATCCTTGTAAGGAGATTCATTTGGTTTGTATTGCAAAATGGTGGCAAATTCGTCAGCCGTCAATTTAATTGAGTCTAAGTGGGTCAACTAGTTTTTGAATGAAAGGTGAAACAGTTCTGCACCATAATTGCAATTACAGAAATGCAGGAAACAAGCAAAAGCCTGTAGAAAGCACACTGACCTACTCGCCATTCGGTACTGATGCGAGAACTTCGTCAAGTTTAAGAATGTAATAACTCATTTGACAGCATACATCATTGTGATGAGTGCATTTTATGCTTTTCAAGTACCCAAATGATCTGTCCCCATAAACCAGGCAACAAAAACACCTCATAAGCAAATAGTAGAACCTAAAATTGTTAATCAGCATTTTGAATTCTACCCAAGTCAACAGTATGACATAGCAATCATGTTCTAAGAAACTAGCACTTAGTATTATTGATCTCAAGTATTCCGCACCAATTAACAAGCACAGATTTGGCACAACAACCACGGATAAAACCAAATTAGCGAAAAAGGATGCTTAAAAACTATAATGTAACTTTCCCTGTCCAACACAAGAAGAAGCAAACTAGGGGCCCCAGAAACCAGAATGCATTAACAAAATCAGGTAATGAATGTGTTCCATTGGCACTGAGAGTGAGAGCTAATCCCTTCTAAAGTTGGTATATCCAAATTGTGTAACTGTGTAAGGTCCAGCAAAAGAAATGACCAGCTAAGATGTTTTTTTCTGGTTACAGAAACCACTGATCTAAATGCAAAATCTACCAGAAAGCTCTTCAAATACTTCATAAGATTTTAATGAAGATGAAATATCCAACAAACTTGAAGGCATGAATACTACATTTACAAATGTTTCATCACTATAAAGATTTTATTATCCCTTCTGCTATCATTCCTAACACCAGCTTAACTGCAAACTTAGTTTTCTTCCTGAGATTCAAAGATGCTGAGACATATCCTCCACAAAAAAGAAATGGAAGTCCACGAATGGCTAGAAAACGGATTGCAGCTTAACTGTGATCATAGTTATCTTCCTGCGATATTTTATCTCATTGAGAGATGCTTGGGTATATACTTGCAAAAGAGAGGCAATACCATGAATGGGTTTGCACATAAGTTGCAGTTTAACTGCAATCTTACTTTTCCTCCTTTGATTTTATTTCAAGATGTTAAATCTCAAATTCATTAAGTGCTATGCTCAAATCAAGATGAGAGTTACTTGTCTCCCTGAGACTTACGTCAAGTTTGAATCCCAAATTCTTAATCACCACTATCAGACCATGAGACGACCACATGACCACTTCTTGATACAGCGCTTTTGACAAAATTGTGGGTTATATAACACCCAAATCAAAGGGTTGGTTCACTTTCTAATTTAAAATCTTTAATGAACCAAAGGAGTCCGGTCACTTTCTACTTTAAACTTAAGAAAACCACTGCTAATCAGAAAGCACACCAACACCTTATACTTCTAGTTTTCACAAATAGAAGTAGTCTTCTAGAACTAGAGTTGAATATGGAAATAGATGCAATTATTCAAACTAAAGCATCAATATATATTTGACTAGCCTTCTACAAAGTTCAAATGTAATTGTTTTAGCTTATTTAGGCCGTTTATCGTATTCTTTTGTTCCATATGGCCCTTTCTCTTTTTTTTTTTTTTTTTTAAAAAAAAATCAAAAAAAAAGACCGGCCTAACCAAACAACGGACACCCTTAATGTGAGACTTCTAGTCATTTGGTCTACGTGCGCCACTCTTCACTTGAAAATGATCTAGAAAACATCATTAAAAAGCAAAAAATGACATTAAATTAAGCTTTATCCTAGTTAACTGGAATTTTAAAAAAAATGGATATTCGGGTCCCACCAACAGGGATACCAAGTAACTTTGTCCACCACGGCAATGGACGGATGGAAAGAACCACCTAGTGTTTTTTTGTCTCCGCTGAGAATTGAACCTGATGCTTCACGTGTGCTGCACTAGAACAATTATGTGGATATCTTACATGAATTAATTGAGCATGGATGCAAAAATTAATACTTGGTCCATCCCATTTTGTTTTGACATTTTTTGCTTATGGCAATGTATATCAATCAATGATCCAGTATGGAATTTTATGGAATTTAGAAGCGAATGGGACTATTAAATTCAATTTTCTGAATTAAATTATAGAAATTATAGTTTGCTATTTCTAGCACCAAAATCAACAACAACAAAGTACCCAGTGTAGGGTATGGGTAAGGCAGAGGGTACGCAGACCTTACACCTACACCTACCTCAGAGGTAGAGACGCCATTTTCGATACACCCTCAGCTCAAGCAAAAAAAAGTCTAACTTAACAAAAGAAAAAAATACATTTTTATCTATACCAAAATAAAAATTTGAATCTAGTCAAAATGAACAGTTTAAAACTTTTTGGAAAGACAAGATTATTCATTACCTTGTTTTGCTGAGATATCCTTTCACCAATCAGCTTGAGAAAATGGGTCTTCGACCCGGATCCATATGCAGAACCCGGAAATACAAATGGGTTTTTCTCATACCCATTTTGGGTTTCGGGAAATGATGAAGAATCATGGCAGCACTTGATGGATAACGATTTGACTCGACGCGACTCAAGACGCAACAGTGAAGGGAGCTTAAAATCTACATGACGAATTCTAGTGGGAAGAAGAGGATGAGAAGGATTTTGGTGATGGAGTTTAGAGGGAAATGGGGTTGTTGAATAAATGAGTTTCTCCATAACAATGGCGACTTTGAACTACACAATTTTGCCCAATTTTACTCTGTATTATCTTCTCCCTTCCTTCTCTGTAGCTTTACAGAAATTTGCAGGAAAGAGAGAGGAAGTTGGGTTGTTTGAGTTTGGTATGAAAGTGGATAAATAGCAATTTTTAAATTCATATTTTATTTTATAGAAATAAATATCAAAAACACACCTACACAAATCATTAGTTTCGTTTTTAAATTACTGGCAGTTTTATAAATACCTCTCTATTTGAATAACTAACCTTATATACACTTCTGAATTTCCGATATATAATATAACATAACAAGTGGTCTCAAACTCTTATATGAGCATAAAACTCTTAATAAAAAACAGAGAGAAGTATTGAAAACACCCCTAACCTTTATAAGAATTTAGGTATGTATTTCACTCATGATGCAAGATTGGATGTGTATTTAATTTCAGTTAGTCAAGTAAATGGATGTTTTTAAGACCGACAATAGTTTGGGGATGAAATTAATAATTCACCCCCGAGTTTAGGGGTATTCTATGTTATTCATTTGGTTTGAATTGATTTTATAGTTTGATTTTGTATAGAGAGCAGTATTGAAAACACCTCTGAACATGATCATCTTTTTGAATCAATTATTGATCATTGAAAACACCTCTTAAACTCAACGCGAATTATTAGTTTCATCTCTAAATTATTGATGTTCTTAAAAACATTTTTTTACTTAACTAACTGAACTTAAATACACTCACGATCTTGCAACATGAGTGAAATACACATGTAAGTACTCGCCAAGTTTAAGCATGTTTTCAACACTTTTCCTCGACTTTTTATTAAGAGTTTCATGCTCCTACATGAGTTTGAGACCATTTGTTGTGTCATGTGGTAGATCGAGAGTGTATCTAAGTTTAGTTAGTCAAGTAAATGAGTGTTTTTAAGACTGTCAATACATAGTTCGGAGACGAAATCAATAATTTACGTCAACTTCAGAAGTGTTTTTAATACTTCTCTATTGTTATTACGGTGATCTTTAATATACTGAAAATAAAATATTTTTTAATCTTCATTTGTGTTCGTTGTGTAATAAAAAAATATAATTTTAAAACTATTTATATATAATTTAAACAAAAAATATATATTACTCCTATTTACGAAACCAATAGTTTGTGTCAAGTTCAAGGTGTTTTCAATACTATAACAAAACCGAAACAGTTAAGATGAATTAAAAAAAGTTTAAATTTGTCTATGAATCATAAAATAATAATAAAATTAACAAAGTACACATTTAAAAAAAAAAAATAACCGATCGAATTGAACAATAACACGTCACATAGAATACCTTCCCTTTCAGCCCGGGTTTGTCAATCTGGTTTTGGTTTCCTTGAAATGATCCGACCCGAGTAAATTCAAAAAAACCCTAGCAAATCCGCCTATATATTAGCTAAAACCTTTACAAAACCCCGCCTTTCGTCTTCACTCTCGAGCTCCTTCAAACGCAGTAGAAGTTGAAAAATGACGCTTGGAGAAAGGCAAGGAGATGAGAAAAATGACTCCAAGTACTGCGGAGTGGAAACGGAGTTCAACGATGACATGCCTCAACTTCTCTCCATCAACATTCATGGCGGATTCGACTTTGTTGTCGCACCATTGGTTAGTAATCTAAGTTTCAGTTCTTTTACCGAGAATTGATCAACCCATTTGTTATCGCATCATTATTTAGTAACCCATAATCCTAAATCTCTATAAAGCACAAAGTATTTAACACTATTAATTTTTTTAAAAAAAAACTATACTTGGATATAATTGATTTAATTTGCAGAATGTGATTAATGGTGACCAATTAGCCAGTCACATACGGGCCTGAATTGCCCAATTTTGCTATGTGTGAATGGTCAGTATGTCACCTACAGTAAGACTAATGGTGTTGTCTAGCCCAATTTTTTGGTGAACTGTGATCTTTGTAAGTTCACTCAGGCTGTCGACATTACATTCCCTTTCCAAATATCAAGACTTGGTTTTCTAGCTGAATAATGATTGGGCAGATATGTGATTTTTTGAGAAATGGAGGAATTTAACGATTGCAATTAGCTAGGCTAATGACAAAGGTTTTTGTCCTCTTTTGCAAGAATAATTTGAGGAATAGACTAGTGGGAGGACTTTCAAATTCCATTATCTTGCATAGGTGATTCAAGTCATCAGGGCAGCAAAGTGGAAAGAGACCGCTAGTGACTTCTCGACATGGGGTTTGGAAGGGGTAGAGGTTAATAAAATAAACTTTGGGGTTTAAAAGGAGAAAGTTAGCAGCTAACATTTTTTTTCAAAAAAAAAATTAGTAGCTAACATTGACCATTGTATGCCAAAAAAAATTAGACATTGTACATTGTTTGACTTGCTATGTGTTTGTCAGTTTGTGTAACAACATATGATTCACATCAACTGGTAATTGCTTGCACATAAATACCAGCTGACATAGCTTATCCATGTTATAATTTTTTGCTATATTTTAGTTTGTGTAGAGATTGACCAAGTGAAGAGATAAACCTGCCCAGCAGCTTTAGGAACCATATTGTTAATGTGGGAAGATGTAATCCTCTCTTCTTAGTAGTATCGAAAAAGTCTCATCTCCTTCTACACCAATTCACGGCATACCTGTATATTGCAACAATTATGCTCTTCCACAAACATACTGGCGCATATTTTCGCACATAAGAATAGATTTAGATGGTGCGAAATGGTCAATGAGGATCCATATTTCAACTTGCTTGGGATCGAGGCGTTTTAGTTGTTTTTGTACTTTTCTACAATTCTCTATCGAAGCCATCTATCAGATACCTAGGTCTCAATTGTGCATACGTATTTCCATCTCGTTCCGTAACACAAGATGACACTTTCACACTTAATCTTCCTTTACCTTAAAGAAAATTCGTCATTAGGCTTTCTCGCCTTTTTGTCGTCTATAAATGGATTTGGAATAAGGAGGGATATATGGTGGGACATTGTATTCGTGTTATGAAGATATTCTTGACTCCCTTAGACAATGTTTGGTTTATTATGATCGAGCACCTTATGTGCGGATATATAAAATCGACCAATTTTTCTCCACCTTGATTTGAAACCCATGTAGTTGGATTGTTACATAAGAAAAATTAGTACACGTGGTAAGCAGCTCTATGGGTTGTTTGGTTACTAGGATTAGAAAAATGATATAAAATACACGATTATTTTATCTCATACTTGATTAGATTATTTTAATCATGGGCTCACCTGTATTGTTGTTTTAATCATGGGTTCTCTTCTTAAATCAAGATTGTTCACTATGAAGGGTATTACCTGTATCTGTTAAATTGTGTGATCACTTCATTTAAAAGTGTAAGCTATTAGAAAGAAGACACTTTTATTAACTTAATCATATCATCAACACACCTACACACCTCCACAAGGTTTGATTCATTTTTAAGGGTCAATCATGTGGATATTTGTTGTGGTAGTGATCCTTGAACATAAGATCTTTGCCTGCTCTAATACATGTTGAATTATTTGACCACCCGTTCTAAAAGATTAAGCTATTAGAGTAGAAGCAAAAAAGCTATTAAAAGGAGCACACTTTTATTTACTTCATTATGTCTTCAACTAAATTAATTGTTTTATTTGTTAATTTATGGTTTGACTTAGAGTTATCAAATGAGAGAAGTGTGGAAAAACATCAAGGTCTTCTAGAAAGTAAGTGCAAAGTGCAATTATGGCGTTGGCTTTAGAAAAGAACCACACTAATTAAGGAAAAATAATAATAAAATATCTCTAGTGCAAGAAAAAGTAATTATAACACTAGTCGCTTATTATTTTCACAAATGAGTTGAAAAAAATTATAATTTAAGGAAACATCTAGTAAAAATCATGTCAATTAAGTTCAATAACCATTTTATATTTTTGATTTAGATGCATAAATGTACTTTAAATTTTCAGTGACTAGTTGTCTTATATTAAATCTAATTTCTTAATTCTAAATTTCTAATGATTAGAAAGATTCAGCCATAATGTTTTAGTGCTTGGTGCCTTCTTTTGAACTAGGTCATCTTTCCAACCTTGATATCACTAAGCTTCAAGGCTTAAACTTGCCTTAAATAGACTTATAACAACACTAGTTTAGTAGTATCGTAGTATCTTATCATAGTGGTCAGAGTCTAGTAAGGTGAGCAATATATTATCATTGTGGCCAGCTTTTAAAAGTTTTAGGTGCATTGTCGGCTAATTACATATGTTTATGATCAAAATCATATGTTATTTGTTGTAGGCTCAACAGTGAGGTGATACTTGTAGGGCTATCATTATTCCTTTATGTTTCAACTACACGTCTAAGTTTCCTTTTTTGATTCATAAATACGCATCTAAGTTTTTCTTTTATCTTGTTCAGTTAACATGTTGGGGTATTGATTTCATGAGAAACATGGGTAAAATCCATGCTCTTTGTATACATAGAACACTTTAGCAACTGTAAGGTTTGACTTGATTTCAGGGGTCATCTGGTTCTTGGTATTGGGCAGGTTTTGAGGGGGGGGGTGTAATTTGGAAGGAGAGGAACTATAGAATTTTGAAGACAAAAGCAATCCTGTGCAGAAAGTCAAGATGAATTGTATACTTTTGTTTCATTTTTGGTGTAAAGAAAACTATGTAGAGGAAACTGGATCACTAGTTGATGTGATAGATTCCTTGTGAAGCAGTTGTCCTAAGCATGTGGGTTTTATGTAATTATAGATAGCACAATTATGGTGCAGATCTCTATATATATACACGCACACACATACATGTTACCAGCTTAAAAAAAAAGTTTTTATTTTGGGGGGGGGGATAAAGTAGTGGCATCATTAGTGTCTATTGGGTTATTTATCATCTAGATTATTTAGTCAAGTAGAACTTTTTTCTTCAATGAGGGGGTTAATTTTATCTCGTGGGTTTGCAATGGAATCCTATTGCTAAGAGTGCAAAAACTCTTACTCCTATGCCGTACCCTTCCCCAACTCCCATCCCTCTTACCTCACCTCCTCTCTGGCCTTCAAAGTTCATAGTCCATATCTACCTGCCTCCTACTTGGTATTCTTTTATAATTTTTTTTTTGAGAAAGGTAACTTGTATTATAA